ACTTCTATTGTATGTTTGTTTAACCAAAAAAAAAAAAAAAGGTTCTTGATAAATGATTGGACATCCCGCGTATCTGACCATCAGAAACTAATTAGGTTGACACAACTTAGATGGTGCACGCGGATGGATGGATTTTGATCACGCTGTGATGAAATCGAAGAAAACAATAATAATAAAAAAGAACACATACTCTGTTCATGCCGACTCCACGGGCATCCCCCTAGCAACGTGAGTATGGTGACGTCATTTTTATTATGTCGTGAGTCATCATACAGGATTCATTTAGAGGTAATGATAAAAGAAAAATGAAAAATAAGGCTCTCTTTAAGAAACTGACGATTGTCTAAGTTATAAGGTGACCACGTGACGTGTTAATTGTATTCTGGATGGACTTGTGTTTAGTTGTGAGGGTAACATAACACAGAAAAAGAACGAGATTGGTGTATGTGGACAGTATATAGATCAGACTGTGGTGTGTGGTTTTTCTGTAACATTAGATCAGAAAAGAAGCTATATAGATTCAAATGGATTACAAGCAAGCTTTCACATCTCACCTTTAGCGGCTGTAATATACAGTATTTAATTATATATATACTCTTCGACTCAATGCTGCTTCAATGAGTGTTATACTGCCCTGAGTCGATGAAACGGGTGTTATGGCACACCACAGAACGATGTCAGATTTCATTTCTTTGGAAGAACGAGCAGCTGTGAGGTTGATAGAAACTGGTCATATACCAAAAGGTAGGATATGAAAATAAGCTAATAATTCCACTCTTGTTTTCCTCACTCGTTACTACTTGTACTTAATTACAGCTTTCCTCACTCGTTACTGTAAGAGTTTTTGACGGGAAGGTTGTTGTCTGTAAGAGGTTTTGACGGGAAGGTTGTTGTCTGTAAGAGTTTTTGACAGGAAGGTTGTTGTCTGTAAGAGGTTTGACGGGAAGATTGTTGTCTGTAAGAGGTTTTGACGGGAAGGTTGTTGTCTGTAAGAGGTTTTGACGGGAAGGTTGTTGTCTGTAAGAGTTTTTGACAGGAAGGTTGTTGTCTGTAAGAGGTTTTGACAGGAAGGTTGTTGTCTGTAAGAGGTTTTGACGGGAAGGTTGTTGTCTGTAAGAGTTTTTGACAGGAAGGTTGTTGTCTGTAAGAGGTTTTGACAGGAAGGTTGTTGTCTGTAAGAGTTTTTGACAGGAAGGTTGTTGTCTGTAAGAGTTTTTGACAGGAAGGTTGTTGTCTGTAAGAGGTTTGACGGGAAGATTGTTGTCTGTAAGAGGTTTTGACGGGAAGATTGTTGTCTGTAAGAGGTTTTGACGGGAAGGTTGTTGTATATGAAAGTTGTTGCTCTTTCTGAAACTTTTTGATTAGTGATAGTAAGTTGTATTATATTTTGTAAGAGTTTCTTACTTGAATTGTGGTTAGTCAAATGTATTGTTTTTAAACGTATTTAACCTGTTTAATCGTGTTTATTGTTCTATGTGAAAATTTTGGATGTGTGTGGTAGTCTAGCGTATCTTTACCTGTAAGAGTATTTGATCGGTGACATTCAGGTGGTAATCAGATCTATTGTTGTTTCTAAGAGTCTAGGTTTCTTTATGAGAGTTCTGACGTTATGGTAATCAGCTTTGTTGTGTCTAAGAGTTTTATACTGGTAACAGGTGAGGTGTTACATTAGTACAGGTGAGGTGTTATATTAGTACACTACATTTGTAAAATATACAAATCTTGCGATTATTACGACAGTTTCACAGTTTCTTCGAGAAGGCGTGGCACATAAGATGCTCAGAACTGACGGAAAATGTTGAGTTGGCGCATAGAATCCAAACTTTTCTATAGTGCTGGAAACACGATTTTGGAAGAAGTGGATCGTGTCTAATATTTTAACCACAAGATGTTACGTTGTAACACAATCGATACAAATTGTCTGTTACACTTTATGAGAGTGTTGTTCCAAGAGGTTCTTGTTACCGAATCTTCTTTTTTCTAACTCTAGTTTCATGTGGGAACCGCCTCAGCCAGATGACCAAGACATATAATGATGTAGAATCGATGAGAGCGCTTCTTGAAGAGGTAAGCCCAGCTTAACACCTGTAACTACATAGTTAAAACCTTTATTTATAAGATTATTTAGCCTTTTTTGTTTTTAAGCAATACATTTTAATACTTGATATATAATATAAATATCATACGAGCGATAGAGTCTAAATCCTTTAAAATTTAGACGACACATGTTTAACTTTTAAGTAATATAGACGTTGAAAGAAAGACCATCGTTTAATGGTACGCAATAAATATTTTAAAATCAGATTGTCCACAGTCTCAAAATACAGTAGAAAATGTTAGTTAATTATTTACAGTCTACACGTTTCGACGTCATCACCAGGAGTAAGTGGTCGAAGAAAGGACAGTTTATGAGACTGTCCACAGTCTCAAAATACTGTAGAAAATGTTAGTTAATTATTTACAGTCTACACGTTTCGACGTCATCACCAGGAGTAAGTGGTCGAAGAAAGGACAGTTTATGAGACTGTCCACAGTCTCAAAATACCTTCGACCACTTACTCCTGGTGATGACGTCGAAACGTGTAGACTGTAAATAATTAACTAACATTTTCTACTAACGTTATTGCTTTCAAATGGATGATATTGCAGGGGGAAACATCAAGAACCATACAGACTGAGATATGCAAATACCAACTGTTTTACACAGAATATGAAACAGACTCATCATCTGTTTCAATCGGAGAATGAAACTCATATCTGCTGTTTCAAACAGCGAATAAAACTCGTATCTGCTGTTCCAAACAGCGAATAAAACTTTCATCTGCTGTTTCAAACAGAGAATAAAACTCATATCTGCTGTTTTAAAAGGAGAATGAAACCTATATCTGCTGTTTCAAGCGGAGAATTAATCTTACATCTGCTGTTTCAAACAGCGAATAAAACTTTCATCAGCTATTCCAAACAGCGAATAAAACTTAAATCTGCTGTTTTAAAAGGAGAATGAAACCTATATCTGCTGTTTCAAGCGGAGAATTAATCTTACATCTGCTGTTTCAGACAGCGAATGAAACTTACATCAGCTGTTTCAAACGGAGAATGAATCTTACATCTGCTGTTTCAGACAGCGAATGAAACTTACATCAGCTGTTTCAAACGGAGAATGAAACTTACATCAGCTGTTTCAATCGGAGAATGAAACTTACATCTACTGTTTCTAGCGGAGAATGGAATTTACACTTGAGTTTCAAACAGATAATGAAAATTACATCTGAATTTCAAACAGATAATGAAACTAACATCCGAATTTCAAACGGAGAATGAAACTTACATTAGATGATTCACCTCATGTGTTGCAATGTCGATATATATATATATTAGAATAAAACCATAAACGATAAAGAAAAAAGCATTTAAGTTAAACATTGTGTTTCAAACAAGTCGTAAAATATAAAACACAACAGTTGTACGTCTTTTCTGTCCGTTGAAAATGAATAGCAATTAGTAATGCTTGATTTATGGTCAAGTTTTTAAAAACTTTTAAATATCATTTTAGAAAGAGAAAGATCTTGAGTTGGCAGCTCAAATTGGTCAGTCGTTGCTTGAACAGAACAAACAGCTTACTCGGAGAAACGAATGTCTTGAACAAGAGCTGACCAGTGCTAATGAAACGGTAAGTTTATTGACCAATATTGTGTATTAGTGACAGTTATTTTTAAGATTTAATGCAGTGCCGAATTTAGAGAGGGCGCAACCATACAATTGGATGGGGGGCCTCGATCCTCAAAGAAAGGAGTCTCAATTTTTAATTGCCCTAAGGAGGGGACTCCAGAATCGCAGTATTGCATGGAGGCCTCAAAGGATCTAAATCCGGTGCTAATTTAATTATTATGGTTTTAAAACCATTCGTTTAAATATAGTGACGACACTGATATTTAATACTCCATTATTGTGTCAAGAGATTGGATTATAAAGTTAGAATCAAACTGATTTTAACAAAATTTCGAATTGTATGAACAAGGATAAAGAAGTTTAGATGACATTCTAGGTGAAATTAATTTCAAATAACATTTATAACCAGACATTGACAGGATGATCTAATTTACTCTCTCTGAATGTGAATGGCGTAAAGTAACTTGCTTCTTTGGGTTTAGAAACGAGTGAAACCCCATAGCAGTTTTACTAGGAATACCAGAGTTTCAACTATGTTTCTGATGTGATAAGATGACTATTCGTATTCTCTTGTCTAATTTATAGAAAATAAACTGTGTTGGTGATAAAGAACAGTTTAAACTTGAAGCAACCCTGGCCTGTTGTAGGTGATAAATAACCATGAGTTGATAAAAGGGTGTTCTCATATTAACATATTGTTTTTCATGATGTTTATTTTTACTTTGTAATATAAATCACATAATCTGCACATGTTTCTTTCTTCACATTCCTCTTAACTGGTACGTTACAGAGGAATGTAAAAAAATAGCGTTTCAGATCTGTCTTTTGTTTACCACGTGTTACTGCCCAAGAGGTCTCTCGTTCAATACCAGAATTCTTCATTTGAGCTGAATGATTAGAGACAAAAGATTCTCTGAAACACAATCTATATGTGCAGTATATAAATTAAAAAGGTATGGTTTAAACTCTGAAGGCTAGTGAAACATTACAAACCAATAGGTCTAAAATTTGTGACAGAAAATCATGTAAACTACATATTTTTTAACATTCTTGTTGATTTGTGCACTTCGGATTGAAAGTTTTAAAAATATACATTACTGGATCCAGGATGGTTCTCGATTTAGGGCAAATATCTGGTGTGATTGGGTGTGTGCTCAGCTTTTCCATTCTGTCTGTAACAATGAAGACAACCATGTGAAACCCTTGAAGTGCGAAAAAGTAAGTTGTTTGTTGTGGGTGTTCCTTTTAATGGTGTATATTCCATCAAGGTGGAGACATCTGATACTAGTGTGGTTGATCTGTCCAGGTAAAGGAATGGTGTCTAGTATGTTGGCCAGGTAATCGTAGCAGTAGTCCTACATGTGGTGTAGTGCCGTTTAGGTGGTTCTGTCATACGTGTGGTGCAGTGCCGTTTAGGTGGTTTTGTCATACGTGTGGTGTAATGCCGTGAAGGTGGTTTTGTCCTACATGTGATGTAATGCTGTTTAGGTGGTTTTGTCCTACATGTGATGTAATGCTGTTTAGGTGGTTCTGTCCCAAGTGTGGTGTAATGCCGTTTAGGTGGTTTGTCATACGTGTGGTGTAGTGCCGTTTAGGTGGTTTTGTTCTACGTGTGGTGTAATGTCGTTTAGGTGGTTTTGTTCTACGTGTGGTGTAATGCCGTTTAGGTGGTTTTGTCATACGTGTGGTGCAGTGCCGTTTAGGTGGTTTTGTCGTACGTGTGGTGCAGTGCCGTTTAGGTGGTTTTGTCGTACGTGTGGTGTAATGCCGTTAAGGTATTTTTGTCGTACGTGTGGTGTAGTGCCGTTAAGGTGGTTTTGTCGTACGTGTGGTGTAGTGCCATTTAGGTGTTTTTGTCGTACGTGTGGTGTAGTGCCGTTAAGGTGTTTTGTCGTACGTGTGGTGTAATGCCGTTAAGGTGTTTTTGTCGTACGTGTGGTATAATGCCGTTAAGGTGTTTTTGTCGTACATGTGGTGCAATGGCGTTAAGGTGTTTTTATCGTACGTGTGATGTAGTGCCGTTTAGGTGGTTTTGTTGTACGTGTGATGTAATGCCGTGAAGGTGGTTTTGTCATACGTGTGGTGCAGTGCCGTTTCGGTGGCTTTGTTCTACGTGTGGTGTAATGCCGTTAAAATGGTTTTGTTCTACGTGTGGTGTAATGCCGTTTAGGTGGTTTGTCATACGTGTGGTGTAGTGCTGTTTAGGTGTTTTTGTCATACGTGTGGTGTAGTGCCGTTTAAGTGGTTTTGTCATACGTGTGGTGTAGTGCCGTTAAGGTGTTTTTGTCGTACATGTGGTGTAATGCCGTTAAGGTGGTTTTGTCATACGTGTGGTGTAATGCCGTTAAGGTGTTTTTATCGTACGTGTGATGTAGTGCCGTTTAGGTGGTTTTGTTGTACGTGTGGTGTAATGCCGTAAAGGTGGTTTTGTCCTACATGTGATGTAATGCTGTTTAGGTGGTTTTGTCGTACGTGTGGTGTAGTGCCGTTTAGGTGTTTTTGTAATACGTGTGGTGTAGTACCGTTTAGGTGT